AATTACATACAAGGCTGCAATGAATAACCTTGAGCATATGTATTTTTATATTATCAGAGGTGAATCTTCAGGATAACCTAGAAGTGAGATTATTGGGCCAAAATTCAGCACATATTTAATTGTACTGCACATTGACAGATCTGCTTCCTAAGGTGGCACCAATTTGCATCTAACCAGCTTGTATCCCCACAGCCTAACAGACAAAATGGCTGGTTTAGGTAGAACACAGTATCTTCTTGCGATTTTGCTTCTCCTTTCTTCAAATGAGGATGGACATCATTCCATTTGGATGAGACGAGACCATCAGAGCACCCAAGCCAGGAATGTCAGATGCTGACCCTGTACTCATGTGACTCTGAGAGTCAAGTCCTTGTTCAAACCATTCCCAACCCATGGTGCCAAATCTACCTTGGACTTTCCACCTGCAAAGAGTAGGGAACCCAGTGGGTAATGTGTTATATTCCTCTGACAGGTATAACATAAAGGGGAAGAAGATCTAAAGGAATAACCATTGCTTTATACAATTACATGAAGCTCTTATGTGCAGAAAGTCAGACACAAAGAAAATCACACTGGAAGGGAAGCTATGACAAACCTAGAGAGCATATTGTTTTTTACTTACAAAAGTTATATTTACACATCTAGTAAGTAAAGCAAGTTACACCCATTTCAAAATATATATTTAAACACACATCTGAGTACCTTTCAAAAGGCAAGAAGTTTTTAAGAGAACTTCAGTTTAATAAAGCTAAATGGGGAGAATTTAAGGTTGCATTTGACATAGTATTTAAACAAAACCAAAGTGCTAAAACAGTATTTAGACAAAGAATGCAATTCACTAGTCACTAGGCAAAGAAAATGGCCCATAGTAGATGGCGCACAGAATGTCCTCCAAAGAGATAGCACTTTGCCGACAAAGGTCCGTCTAGTCAAAGCTATGGTTTTTCCAGTAGTTACGTATGGATGTGAGAGTTGAATCATAAAGAAGGCTGAACACTGAAGAATTGATGCTTTTGAACTGTGGGGCTGGAGAAGACTCTTGAGAGTCCCTTGGACTGCAAGGAGATCAAACCAGTCAATCCTAAAGGAAATTAGTCCTGAATATATATTGGAAGGACTGATGCTGAAGCTGAAACTCCAGTCCTTTGGCCACCTGATGTGAAGAACTGACTCATTGGAAAAGACCCTGATGCTGGGAAAGATTGAAGGCAGGAGAAAGGGGACAACAGAGGATGAGATGGTTGGATGGCATCACCGACTCGATGGACATGAGTTTGAGCACACACCAGGAGATGGTGAAGGACAGAGAAATCTAGCGTGCTGCAGTCCATGGGGTCGCAAAGAGTCTGACACGACTGAGTGACTGGATAACAACAATAGTAGACCATGAGGCAGTGGTGCCATGATGGTCAGTGTAGACATGGGCACCGCAGGCGGTCTTAACCCTCCATGGCCTGGTGGGTCAGACCTGCATCTCAAGGAGCTCCAATGCTGTGCTGAGTTCTGATCTGTTCCACTGGCTGCTCCTTGGGCCCCCAATGCAGTGTCTCCAAGTGGACCGTATCCCACATGCTCCATGTGAGGATGAAGGACGGGGGAGCCCCTGTTAGCACGTCTGCTCCTTTATAAGTTTCATCGCCAATAACCTTGCTTCTTGTAGGAAAAACTAGAAATGCAAAAAGAAAGAAAACATCACTGATGTGCCCCCTCATCTGGAAGCAGCTTAATTTCTGACATTTTGGAGGAAATATGACTTGTTCCACGCTCTACCTCTTTCTTTCCCTCAGTTATTACAAGCATCTTTCCAGGGCAGTGAATAAGCATCTACGTCACCATTTTCCATGACTGTGTAGAAGTCCACATAGAGTCCTGTGTGATTTTGATTGTTTTGAAGCAGTGCTGTCGGGAGCACCATGCAGGCTTCACAGGAATTCCCGATTCCCAGTGTCTCCTGGACTCTGCCTCCCAACCCAGGCCATGCAGAGATGCTCCCCCCCAGCAGAGATGCTCCCCCCAGCAGAGATGCTCCCCCCAGCAGAGATGCTCCCCCCAGCAGAGATGCTTCCCCCTAGCAGAGAAAGCCAGGGGGTGAAGGAGCAATGGGGGCCCAGGGAGCTAGTGTGGGGGTGAGGCCTTGAGAGAGATGAGTGACAAGGGGTGCATCCCCCTGCACCCTTGCACCCTCGTGGCCATGCTCACAGGGTTAATACGTGTCCAACCGGGCTCTGTGATCATCCTATGAAATCTTTCCAAGGAAGAAACCTCAGGGGCAGAGAACCAGCTCTCTGCATGGAGGTCACGGCTAAAGGCAGACTACCTGGCCACGGGGAGGGGGTCCAGACCTGCTCTGCCCACTTAAAGCATCTGTTCCTCCAACCACATGGACGGTGAATGCCTTTGGATGCTTGCATCCTGCCTTGCAGATATTCTAATCTAATGACCCATGAAGAGGATTTTCAGAAACAGTTGCTGTGTGTGGCTCGTGCCTTGGTGGTGGCAGTTGTGTCTTTTCTCTTCCTGTTTTGTTGGCGTCCCTAGCACCCCCCGAGACCCCCGCCCCCGTCTGATGGCACAATGTCCAGGACCAATTGTATATACAGCACTGCTGTTGATGGGAGGGAGAATGTACCGAGAGCTGGGCTGCTTTTCTCTGCCCTGTAATTTATCTGAATTTTTAAAAATCAATCTTAATCAAAATTGACTTGTTGTTTTGATGCCATGTAGCCACAACTTTGTAGTTTACAGAAGTGGCCCCCTTATACTCTAAATAACACTCTGTGAAGATTTTGAGGGGTGACCCTTTACATGGTTGTGTCATCAGAAGCTGTTTCCAGAGAGGGGGGTCAAGGCCCAGGCATCTCTGTGGGGTCTGTGGTCACAGCTTGCACTGCAGTGCTCTTTGATTGGAGGACTTCCCACTGACCCCTCTGGCCGCCGACCTCCCCTTCACCACCGTGAAACTGAGCAGTCAAGAAGTGGTCATCAGAATCCCAGGGCGGAAGGGTGTGGAGAAGACACCCCAGCTTCAGACAAGAAGCCAGTGAGGCCAGTAGGGTTGGCAGATGACCAGACACTGGTGTTCAGACAGTGGGGAGCACAGAGGTCCAGGGTGAGCTGGCCAGCTGGCCAGTTCTGTGGTTTGGGGACATTGTAACCTCCCAGAGGCCAGGGTGTCCTTTGCCAAACAGAAATAACAGGAAAAATAGCCACAGCCGCTATTTCCAGAGCTGCTGTTGAGAATCCAGCCAGCCCACATATTAAATTCTTAGTAAACTAAAACAAAACCAAAACCTCCACTGAAGCCCAAAGCCTGAACAAGTACCCACAATCAGAGCTGTCACACAGGTGCCAGGATTCCCACCTGCCTAGACTGACCTGTCACGTGATGCATATCCTCTCTGCATCTGGCCTTCGGCCCCATCCTCTGTGTCTCTCCCAGGCCCTCAGGTCCTGCCCTGACTGTGGGGTCCCTTCCCCAGACCCCATGCAGAGGGCCATTGAGGGCAGCGAGGGCAGCCCAGTGCTGAGGTTCCTGGAGACCCTACCTGGCCTCCCCATTCTGGATCGAGGGTTCTGGCCTCCCTGCAGGGAACATGTGCACCTGCCCACAGCCCGCAGTCCCAGACCCCGCCATGTGAAATGCCTCCCTGGGGCTGCTGGTTCCACCTCTGCAGGAGTGAGGATGGGTGCCCCGCCTTCCCTTTATTCTTTGGGAGGCGATGCTAGAGGAAAGACAGGAGCTCTGCAAACCTGGCCCAGTGGAGGGGAAAAAGGAGGGGTGCTGGGGACCCGAGGAGGGTGTGTGTATGTGCGCATTTGGATGTGTGTTTGGGTGTGTTTGTGTATGTATGCATGTGTCTGTGTATATCCATATGTGTCTGTGTGTGTTTGTGTGTCTGTAACCGTGCATATGTGTTCGTGTGTGTGTGCGCATGTATCTCTGTGTGTGTTTGCATGTGCATGTGTCTGTGTGTGTGTGTAACTGTGTCTGTGTGTCTCTGTGTGTTCAGATGTGTGTGTGTGCATGTGTCTGTATGTATCTGTATGTGTCTGTGTGTATGTTCGTGTGTTTTTATGTGTAACTGTGTGTGTGCATGTGTCTATGTGTATCTGTGTCTGTGTCTACATGTGTGTGTGTGTAACTGTGTGTGTGTGTCTCTGTGTGTTTGGATGTGTGTTTGTGTGTGTGCATGTGTCTGTGTATATCTGTATGTGTCTGTGTGTGTGCTTGTGTCTGTGTGTGTCTGTGTGTGTAACTGTGTTTGTGTGTGTGTGCATGTGTCTGTGTGTGTGTTTGTGTGTGTGCTTGTGTCTGTGTATATCTATGTGTCTATGTGTGCATTTGTGTGTCTGTGTGTGTGTTTGTGTGTGCCCATGTGTCTGTATGCGTGGAGGGCAGATGGGTGCTGTGTGGACAGAGTGTCACCCGCTCCCACCCTGGGGGCCCAGGAGAAGGTCACTCCTTGCCATCGGGGTGAGCCCCTCCCGTGTGCCTGTTTTCTCCCCCAGACAAGACACAAACAGGCCAGCAGGAAGCTTCCTACGCAGGCGCAGCGGAGGCTCCAATTTGCAGTTTTATGTGCATTTGATTAACCAAAACAGGAGGGACACCAGGGCTCAAGACCAGGCCCACAACGTCCTTATTTAGGTCACAGTCCAAGGAAAGAAGGGATTCAAGGCAGAGTCCGGGCCCCAACACCAGCCCTGCCTAGACCTGAAACCAGGTTGACATCTTAGAACGAGGAATGGACTCCACACGCCGCCTGTGTGCTGCCCCCAGCCCCGTTCTCCAGTGGACACCCCGCTGTCCGCACCCATCCCAGAGGTCTACTGGGCTGTGGGTTTAGTCTCCCTGGAACAGCCCAGAGCCCATCCTTGGGGTCCTTCTCTTCCTATGGGGGACAGCACTTGCTGGGCAGGCTTGCAGGGCCTGACCTCCGCATCAGTGATGGTGGGAGACCCCTGCTGACCCTCGTCCTCCCATCCGTCTCTCCTGGCAGAGTGACTACTCCAGCGACACGGAGAGCGAGGACAACTTCCTCGTGATGCCCCCGCGGGACCACCTGGGCCTCAGCGTCTTCTCCATGCTCTGCTGCTTCTGGCCGCTGGGCATCGCCGCCTTCTACCTGTCCCACGAGGTAAGGCCTCCCGTCGGCCCACGCACGCGGCCGGTACGCCCAGGCCGGCGAGGACGGGGTGGGGGTGCTGCGGGGGGAAACCTGGTCTCGGGGGCCCAGCCTTACCCCAGCAGACCCGGGCGCATCCTCAGAGGGCGGCCGTGGGGAAAGCAGCAGGTTGGGAGCCGGGCCTCCAAGCGGACACTAGTGGGCCGCCAGCAGGACAGACCATATGTTGGGAGAGTCCATGGAGGGTGCTAGAACAGAGGCAAAGTGGGTTCTATTTTCTTTGTAAAAGGCTCCCACATAAAATAGGGTCCCATGACATGGCGCCTGTGCCCTCCTCCCAAACAGCCTGTCTTGGCCAGTAACTGGGCCCTCTGTCCAGTGGCAAGGCTCTAAGAGAGTCAGTTCCTGGCCCTTTTTCATGGCAAACCTCCTCCTTGTGCCTTCATGGAGCCCAGGTTTTAAATACTTCCTCTGTGTTCCTGTCACTCAGAAATTACCTATGTTCCCATTCTTATTAATCAAAGGAAGACGTGTACTTGTTAATTAGAGAGGGAGTTTCAGCCTCACCCGTTATCCCCACCAGATGGAAGGAAAGGCAGCCCCTTCTGTTGCTCCAGAGCCCACAGCATCCTCAGGGCCCCTGGGGCTCCCTCTCCAGTATCCGGGACCCTGGGGCCATCCGGCCAGGCCTTGTGCTGGAAACATTCCTTCCTCTTGCTTTGAGAAGGACTCTGGGCTCTCACAGCTTCTTGCCATTGTCTGTCCCGATTCAGTGTGTTGGGTGAGAGTCCCCATGTGTGCTCCTGTGTCCCCTGCCCCCCTTTCCTGATCCTACAAGGAGTGAGGAGGGAGGGGAGAACCCACTAGTGGCCCTCGAGGGCAGCCCCTCTTTGCAAGAAAACCAAGAGGCCCCAGAGGCCCTTCCAGGGGGGCGTGGCATGGCCGCTTCTCTGAGATCTTGGTCCCAGAGGATGGACGGGTGTGGGGAGGGGTGATGGAGCCATCCTACTTGGCCAGAGTTGTGCCCAGTGGTTATTCCACATCCAGCTTTGGCCTGGAGGGTCTGTCTGAGCATCTCTTTGGTGAGTTGGTTCTACACGCGCCAGAGGCCCCTACTCTGGGGTGCACAAACCCAGACTGTAGAACTAGACTCTGGGCCACCAAGGCCTGGGGGTGGTGGGTGGAGCGAGGCTGGGAGCTCCTGGACCCAAGCAGTGGCCATGGGTGCTGCATGTGCCCAGGATTGGGATACACAGTGGGACCTGGTCAGAGGGCACGTGGGTAGATGGGGCCTCCAGAAGACCTCAGGCTCAGAGCCCACCTCTCAGTGTCAATAGCACCCTGATCCTGTGTTCCTGCAACGCAAACAGGTAAGAGGGTTCCACCAGGTGAAGGAAGGTCCAGGAAGGTGGAGCCAAGGGAAGCCGGCTGTCCGGGAGCCCGGGTGTGACGTCAGCGCCCCCTGCATCCAGTCCTGACACATCCAGAGTTAAAGGCAGGCGGCCCACCCCCAGCCTCCAGTCCTGGCCTGCTGACTCACCCCATCCCCCGCAGAGGGTGCCCTCCACACTAGCGCTGTGTTTTAATTGCCAAATTGTAGAACGGGACCAATATTTTCACTCTGCAAGTGGACACTGGTGTCACCTGCCAACAGGGACTGAGTGAGCCCCAGGTAAGCAGAGGCAGGGTCCAGGACAGGTCGCCTACAGACCAGGTTGTTCCTGATCTCAGCTTCTCCCTGACCCTGGGGAAGGCCCATCTCTGGAGCTGGGCAAGGCAGGCATAGCATCTTTGTCTGAAAGATGGTAAATACAGCAAAAATCCAGCCACAATTGAGGAGACTGGCCTTAGATCCTCCTTCTCGGAGAGTAATGTTATCCTTCACACCTTAAGAACCTCCTAGACTTGGGCCTGATCAGTCAGGATGTTTAATACCTTCGATGGAAAGGATTCTGACCATTTATTAACAGCAAATGAAATGCCATCTCCATGGAAGCTGCTGCCCACATTCTTGGAGTGAAGAGCAAGTGTTTAGAGGCCTGTGGGATAGCCTTCACTCTTGGAATAAGAGGAGGGGTTCTGAGGTCCCCCGCTTTTAGCCCCTCTTCTCTTTGTGCTGTGAGCGTGGATTGCCCCTTGAGGAACATGGGTCCATGGGAGCTTGTGGCTGAGACCCGGGCATTGCAGGCCTGGGAGGCAGGCAGCCCCAGGCACCCAGCGCTCCAGCCCAGCCCTGAGGCCCCCGGGCCTTCTGTCCCTGCCTCTAAAGCCCAACTGCAGACACTGGAAATGGGAATTGTCAGCACACACCTGGGTCCCCAGGTGAAGGGACAGCTGGACAGAGACATGGGGTCTTTTCTCCAACAGATTTTATGATTCGCAAAAGGCCTTAAGTAGCAGTAATAGCAGTCAAAGTATCAGTGAGGTGGGAAGCATCTATATCTGCCGGGTCCTGGTCCAGGTTAAACACCCTACACCTGCCTTCTCAGGCAGTCCTGGCCAACAGTGTCGACAGCCTCAGTGGGGTTAGAAAGTCGTGTTTTCTGGCCCCACCAACCTGCTCCATCAGAGCCACCGGGGTGGGGTGTGGAGCCTGCATTTGAACAAGCCCTCCCTCGCTCCTGATGCTGCTATAGCCTGAGCTGTTGCACATGCATGTTCTCTTGGGAAGTCCGTGACAGGGCATTGCCCTCACATTGCTTGGTAGCTATGGTATCAGGGAAGGCGATGATGTCCCAAGGCCAGACCTGACTGGCAGTGAGCCTAGCCCAGAGCCACCCCCGGAAGAGGCAGCGAATTGGAACTGACAGTATGGAGGACTCAGCGTGGAGGCCCAAGTGTAGTATTTGTCCACAACTTCATTTACTCCAATGCTCATCATTTGATCCAGCCCCCAGTGCAGGCATAGTTTATACACCAAAGAGAGAGGAGAGTGCTATGTGTAGTTTTGGTGGGTCCACCAAGGAACCGATGCTCTGAGTGATGTTGAGGGTGGAGAGGAACCCAAATTTGCTGAGCAATGCTAGGACCTAGTTGATGTGCTCACGTTATCTTATTTCATCTTTGCAATGAGTCTGAAAGCTGGGAATTTATTATCTCCATTTTATAGATGAAAAAACTGAAGTTTCAAGGGATTAAATAATTTCTTGAAATCAGAGATGTAGCAAGTATGGTACATGATGCATATATCAATGTTTCTAACCCTCAAAATCAAATTTCCTACAATATAACTTTTTTAAGACTTTTTTTATTTTATTTTTTGGCCATGAGGCATGCGGGTTACCCAGCCAGGGATGAAACCCACACCCCTGAAGTAGAAGCACAGAGTCTTAACCACTGGGCCACCAGGGCAGTCCCTTCCTTCCCCTCCTGTGGTATAACTTTGACTTTTATCTGCAAACAAAAAATAGAAGCACAGTTCTCATGTCTAAATCCACTCTCCCCACTTGCTTGGAGTGTGTTACAGTGAGAAAAAGAACCCTGCTAGAAGGGACTGGACATTTACCTAGGCACCTTCACCTGCAGGGCAAGTTCGAGCTTGAGACTGGAGCTGGAAGACCCTTCCCTCCCCACACTGCCCAGAGGCCCTGAGTCTGGAGCCAAGGGAAGCCTGAGGGCTCCATGCGCTGTGTCTGCCTCAGGCATCATCTACATTTGAGCATCTATCATGTCCTGATTTCATTTCATTTCACAAAATGTTTCTTTCCTTTATTAACTGCACTATTATAACAATAATTAAATGAGAAAAGGGAATTAAGAGCCAGATTATGAATTTTATGAATAGCATCAGTGCTTAAAAGTATTATTTAATATTTCATAAAGAATCTGTAGCTGTCTTCTGCAGAAGACTTGTCACATCAGCAGAAGCAGAAATCTGTATTTCTCTCTTCCGTTAATTACCTATACAGAGAATGTGTCCCTCTTACAACAGGAATGTTTTTAATTAGCAAACTGAAGACTTGACCGAGGAACTTAGATTATCTGTCACTTGAGTTCCCATTCCTTCCGGCACCAACTGGAACTCACCCTGGCTCTTCGGGTGAGTGGTCAAGTGCCCTGGGACATACAGAACAAAGCCCATCAGAGCCTCATTCAGACTCAGAGAAGTGGCACCGCCGTGTGAATAATGGGTGAAAAGCCCCAGACCCAGCCCTTCGAGGGGCTCGCTGAGTCCTAGCAGCATGTGTGTCTGATGCAAACATCTGCACACCCATTTTCTGTTTGGTCGTTTCCTAAAGATGAACCACGTGGCTTATAAACGTGGCGTCTCCTGAGGGTGTCCAGACACAACCAGGAGGAGTTGCCACGACGAAGATCAAGTCAAGCCACCAAATACTCTGGGCTCGCGCCCTACTCAGGGCTGTGGGAGCCAACACAAACCCCCACCTCAGGCCCCCTGGAAGCAGTGCCACCCTCCGAGCTGCCCACCAAGGAGGGGCTTCCATCGGTCATAGACTGAGGGTTCCCCACTGGAGGAAGCCACAGAGACAGAGGTGATTTGAGGGCCCCGGGAGGGCAGGGCAGGGCCCAAGAGTCCTGAACGCACACTGCAGTCGGTCTGTTAACTGAGGGTTTTAAACCAGAGGATAAGGATGGGAAATAAAACAGGTGTCAGAGGGCACCACCCAGAAGCAAATGCTCTGGAACAGTCAACTCAGAGCAGAAAATCTTTTCACAAGAAAGCGAGCAGATGCATGCATCAGGCACTGCGGGGCCTCTGTGGGTTTCTGCTTTGCTCCCTGGGGGTTGCTGAAGACAGACGGAGGGAGACGGGGCCCTTCACCTCCCTCCGCCCCCGCATCAGCCAGGAGCTTGGTTCCAGTAGAGTCTTGACTGGCAGATGCCTCAGGCGTTTTGAGGAGCTGTCACCTCTCCATCTCTAGCCATTCATCTCACTGAAGGGACCGGCATTTCCATGCTCTCCCAGCTAAACCCTGTCACAAACAAGGACAGGTTTCTGAAATGCTCCTGTTTGTTCAAAGCTGTGTGCTTGGAACAGGTGCATCACATAA